CACTACTGAACAAGGAAGCTATATTTTCGATACACTACCGAACAAGGAAGCTATGTTTTCGATACACTACTGAACAAGGAAGCTATGTTTTCGATACACTACAGAACAAGGAAGCTATGTTTTCGATACACTACAGAACAAGGAAGCTGTTTCAATATACATGAATTATTTGATCCACTGTAATCACAAGCTCAACTAACTTCTTTAACACTTAAACCCTTGCTACTTCACCAGTACTAAACAACTATATAACCACACAATTACAATAATGAGAGACAGCTAGGTATAGTAATTTAAAAAAATGTAAGTCAACCATCACAGTCAAATGTCACTCTTATATAACTGCTACTCTTAAGTTCTTTAAAATAGTATTATACATAGAAGTACCAGAACGATCGTTTATTAGCTTACGTCCCTGAAAACAAGTTACACAGTTAAACTTATGAGGTTTATTGGTCCAGAAACATAAACTGAATGCTTCGTAGATCGTCGACTAACAAGTCAATACGGTGGAGTGTCGGTAAAAACGTACGACACATGTATTATTACGCGTATAAGAACTACAGAACACTGCACATTTACTTGCACAGCTCTGTGATAACAGTTTGTACAGGTACAAGTTTAGATATACGACTTAACAGATTGCTGTATTCTGTATAACAATCTCTTTAAGGTAAGACTTGCAACAGATTATTGTATGATAAATTAAATTACTGATTTTTAAAACACGTATTCTTAGTAATAAACAAGAATATTAAAACATACGTCGTCATAAAACAATGATCGTAAAAGAATTATAGATAAATCTTAATCTAGTAGATATTTTTACACAACCAGAAAGCCGAGTAACACTTCTATGAAATTAACGTACATGTTAATTAATAAAAGGCTACCACACAGTCAAGGTTTTGTTCTGTTGTGATCTGTTTTGAACTCAATATATACGAAATCATACTTTTCAGAATTACATTAGAGTTGTCGAAAAACGAAACTATATTATACATTCAAACGAGCTGTATGTTAATACACTAACATGTAACCGCAGATGTCAGTAGTGAATTCTCAATCGCGCAGAAAGGATCCTTCTATGTTCTTGGCCTAGCATAGCCTAATGTTTGAGTTATTTGACTCGTAATCTGCGGGTCACAGGATCGAAACCAGTCACCAAATATGATTACCCTTTCAGCTGTGATAGCATTATAAAGTGACGGTCAATCCCCCTATTAAGTGGTAAATAGTAGCCCAAAAGTTGGCGGTAGTGATGTTGACTCGCTGGCTTTCCTCTTATCTATCACTTCAAAATTAGGGACGGCTGGTGCAGATAGCCCTCGAGTGGCTTTGCTAGAAACTCAACAAACAAACGATGCAACGTTCTTCCGGAAAGCGAAAAACAACTTACAATAGAGCATTGAGGACAGCAACAGGCTATGAAATCATACCTCAACCCAATCCGGAACAATGTACTTGATAGGCACAAAGAGCGATGTAGAGAGCAGTTCCAAGAGACCTAGAACATCTTTCTTAAAAAATGAGATTAACCTCAATATCTGAGACGCACAATTATGAACAGTTAGTTATAGAAAAAGGTGTGCTTTTGTCATTGTTTGTTATGAACAGTTAGTTATAGAAAAAGGTGTGCTTTTGTCATTGTTTGTTATGAACACTTAGTTATAGAAAAAGGTGTGCTTTTGTCATTGTTTGTTATGAACAGTTAGTTATAGAAAAAGGTGTGCTTTTGTCATTGTTTGTTATGAACACTTAGTTATAGAAAAAGGTGTGCTTTTGTCATTGTTTGTTATGAACAGTTAGTTATAGAAAAAGGTGTGCTTTTGTCATTGTTTGTTATGAACACTTAGTTATAGAAAAAGGTGTGCTTTTGTCATTGTTTGTTATGAACAGTTAGTTATAGAAAAAGGTGTGCTTTTGTCATTGTTTGTTGCAATATGAATGTCTTGGTAGTTTCAATTCTGAATAAGTCAGCTGTTTGATCACCGTAACATAAATGTTGAAAATAGAGTATCTTGTTAATGGTTTATTTTTTTTTTTATTTTAAAGAATCTGAAGATTGGTACAGATGTAAACGCGTTCCATATGTCTTGTTTTGTGCAAACTGTGTTGATAACAAATGGTCAAGGAACCTGTGACGACACTTCCAATACGTCAATCAGAATGAATTTTAACAAGCGGCCCCCTGTGACTCGGCGTTAAGTCTGCAGACTTACGACGCTAAAATTCGGCTTTCGATACCCGTAGTTTAGCAGAACACAGATAGCCTTAACAGCAATCAAACCAAACCTAAATAACTACATAATTAACGATTACTCGTGATTAATTCAAACAAAATCATCAGAAACAAAACGCTAAGATATATTTTACTGTCGATCTAATTTCATACAATATTTTTTGTCGTTAGTATAATTTAATTGTTTATAGTACTACAATGGAGGACCTGGCATGGCTTTGTGGTTAATGCGTTCGACTCGCAATTTACGAGTCGCTGATTCTAATTCCATTACTGAACATTTTCGCCCTTTCCGCTGTGAGGGCGTTATAATGTGACACTCAATTTCCTTATTCTTTGGTAAAAGAGTAGCCCAAGAGTTTGCGGTGGGTGATGTTGACTAACTGCCTTCCCCCCTTAGTCTATCATTCGAACATTAGTGACGCCTCACGCAGATAGCCCTCGGGTAGCTTTGTGCGAAATTCAACAAATAAACACTGCAATGGTGTAAACAAACACTGCAATTGTGTAAATTGTTTCATAATTGTTCTTGTCCTTATTTTGAGCTAACAGAATAGAGGGAAAGCAACTAACCAATAGCATCCACCGGCAATTCCGACCGAATAGTGGGATTTGAGCCTCACACTTATAGCCCAATGATGGTACCAGCTTGCGGAGAGCGTTTTGGTGGAAACTTGTCGCAAACTTTGAACCTCAGATTCACAGTCCAAGCCATCGTAACAATGAGGCCCACAGGTGTAAACAGAAACAAATTATGGTATTGTCACAATTCATTTAACAAATAACATCACCAAAGATTAGTATTTTGGTAGAATTATAAAATATTTCATGGCTTTAAACTTTATCATTTTCAGGCGTATGTTAAAGTAAAAAGTGTTAATCACAAAGATCAGAAATTTATAGGATGAAAACGTAGGCCATAAGTAAAAACAGTAATTGAGTCTTTAAATAATTTCCTAGAAACACACTACTAACCTCGTGATGTTTCTTTGGTATTGTTAATACCTGGAAATTTGTGATGCAAAAAAGACACGGTACTACGTTGAATTCAAGCCATTTTTCTTATAATACAGTGTCTTTCATTATTTATTATCGTCATTCTAAACGATACCTTTTTTTATCAAAATTCTGCCAAACAAAACATTAAGACGAATAATGAATAGGTTAATTAAGGAAAATAATAATATATAGTGTTAAGATAAACAAATAATATAATATCAGTTAATTCTTACTCTAATTCTGATGTGTTTTGACATAACTAAATTTGATGGAGAATTAAACATCACTATCTTAATCCAGTTCACACTGTAACAGTTGTTCGCAGGCAAATTCGTGTGCCTCCTAGTGGCTGAGCAGTAAGTCAGTGATCTTATAACGCTAAAAATCGGGTTTCGATGCCTGCAGTGGACATTGTGTAGCTTTGTGCTTTACAACAAACAAACGATTTCTTGAAAGAAACAGTGTCTCAACCACCACTATATTTGTCATACACCAGCTAGTGTGAAGATCCTTAGTACTGGTGAAAGGCTCCGTCGGCACTGGATAGAGCAGATATAGTGTTGTTGACATGTTATTATACTTTCTTCTTTACTTTTACTCAGAATGTCTTATTAATAATAATAGAATCAAGAACGCTGCTGGCTACCAAAAGGACCAAGGGCTCAAGCCCCCAAAGCAAACCATTTTAGTGAATGGTCAGTAAATTAGTGAGTAATTCATACGGTTCTTAAGTAATAGCAAAACTTTAACAATGTACGTCATCTACGTGGCTATGACGAACAGTTTTCTTGTACAAAAATTACTTTTTAGTTTTTTATAATTTTGCGTAAAGCTACTCGAAGACTCTCTGTACTAGCCATCCCTAATTTGGCAATGATGGACTGGAGGGAAGGCAACTAGTCAACACCACTCACAACCAACTCTTAGGCTACTCTTTTACCACCGAATAGTGGGATTGACACTCACATTATAACACCCCCACGGCTAAAAGAAGGACCACGTTCGGTGACTGGGATTCGAACCCACAGGTTATGAGTCACTAGACCATGCTAGTCCATTATACACGACTTACAAACGCTAGGACAATGATAGCACAAAATAAAATAAAAATAACTTAAAACTTGAGAACTACTAATAAGTGTGTGTGTGTCTGTGTTTGTTGTTGTTTTTTTTCAGCGTAACGCTGCACAATGGACTATCTGTGTTGTGCTCACCTCATAGATCGAACCCTAAATTTTATGTTAAAAGTCTATAAGTTTGCCATTGAGTCACAGGGCGAGGGCTACCATTAAATCATAAATGAAACGATATAAATTGCAGTAATTATAGTAAAATTGTATACTGGATTACGAATTACAGCTATGTATTATTATCAAGTGATAAAATTCACAAAATAACATCTAAGAAAGCCTTGTAGTTGTAGATCATCTATATCAAACATGCTAAAATGTTATGTGAATCCCCATAATATGTAACGTGAAAAAATTTTATTATTCTATGATCTACAATTATCTTGGAATTATTTAAGAGCATGTTTTGATATTATTAAGTTAATGCGCGCGCACACACACAAGAATACGCACCAACGTATAATTTGTAAACCTCTAGACTGTCCTCAGAAAGTGCCAAACGGTGTTGAATATCTTATGATGGAAAATATTGGCTGTTCAAGTGGGTCACGTGATAATGAAGCGTATCAACAAGTTTTCATCCTTCCAGTCTAAAGGTCGGAGAAATTATTTTTGTTTTTTACTATATCAGCAACCTATTTAAACGGTACGAGTTATTATCATTCAACCATTCTGTACTATCAGTTTTTGTTACATCAACCTTATTGTTTCTTTCATTATGGCAGCTGGGACAAATATTCGACAGATACTAGGACTTGAGGACCTGGCTAAAATGAAGGTACTGTCCGCGGCTCTACTAGCAGAATTTCTGGGGACAGCTATATTAGTACTTATCGGCTGTGGCTCTTGTATCACTGGATGGGACCTAGACTACTCTCCCACAATTGTCCAGATCGCCCTAGCCTTCGGTGTGACTGTGGGGACAGTAGTACAGTTTATCGGGCACGTCAGTGGAGGACACATTAACCCTGCTGTCACCCTAGGATTTCTGGTCACCAAGAAGATTTCCCTTTTTCGTGCGATGCTTTATGTGATTGTCCAGTGTTTGGGGGCAATAGTAGGCGCTGGTTTGCTAAAGGGACTCACACCTTCCAACTTACAAGGAAACTTAGGGGCTACAGTGGTGAATCAGCACTTGAGCCCAGTCCAAGGCTTCGTAGTTGAGCTGTGCATCACTTTTGTCTTGGTGTTCACAGTCTTTGCCTGTTGCGATGAAAACAGGGGTGACATTAAAGGATCTGCCCCTCTCGCAATCGGTTTGTCTGTAGCAACCTGTCATATGTTTGCAGTAAGTTAGACGCTCTTATGTATTTTTGTTGTTGTTATATCTCTTACTAATGATTCAAATTATTCTGATTAGAGATTTTTCTTTAACTGTATATCAAGAATATTAGCTTTCTTTCATTTTTATGGGCTAATTCTACACAGGTTGTTTGTAAATGTTATTTTTTTAGTTCTGCAGTCTTTATAAATTTAAAAATAAAAACATTATCCAAATAAGTCATTTCTATGCATTTATGTTCCAAATGTATATATTTACCGTACTTTTATTACTTGTCATTTATATCTCGCTAATTATTAATTTGTTCTAGTAACAAGCACAAGATGGCAGCAGCTGCGGATAATGGTATTACTTTTAACTTGAACTTAAGATACCGTTAATTTAAAAGTATTTAAAATTTTTATTACTTCCGTACAGCAGACATTTGTTTTGTGAGCTAGGTTCTGATAGCTCGCATTTACAAATCACTTATGACTTTAAATTGTTCAGCCAAGACATGAAAACTCTCACTGGGATTGAAAAAAATATATATACATCCAGAACGTTTACTCCGTCTTATCGAGTGTACTCTAATCCCCTTAATCTAATAAAGAACAATAACAAAAACACTATTTGAACGATTCATATCTCATAAAAGAGCGCGGGTAGTTCTGATCTTTATCAGCTTCTTCAGAAGTGTAAGTGCCCTTCTAGAAACATGTTTACACACACATATATATAGACACACACACTGACCAGGTTAAACATTAATTTAGATCAGCCTTTTAAGTGAACACGCGTATCTCTCCTCGCTGAAGAGCTGGTGTTCAAAGACACGTGGAGATGACTTATCAGTTTCATTCTTCTCCAAATCCTAAGCTAAGAGCCGGTGTATCTTAAAATAATAAGAACGATTAGGTTTAAACGCGAATCTCACAGGCTTGGAAACAAAAACTAAATTTAAGTGATCTGATAAAATAATAAAGTGGACAAAATAAAATAGAAAAGCGAATTGCTAATGAACTTTGTGACCTGTGTGTTAATACAAAAATACTACGGGGAACAGTGTGGTATCTGGTATTTTTGACCTAAACGATAGCTTGAAGACCTTAAAATACCGTATCAGAGACCGAAATTATGAACTGCTGACCAGAGGGAAGGCTGGTTTTGTTTGTTTTTGGTTTATTTTGAATTTTGGGCATAGTTATCCGAGAGTTACCTGCGCTAGCCGTTCCTAATTTAGTAGTGATAAACTAGAGGGAAGGCAGCTAGTTAACTTTTTGGCTAGTCTTTTACCAACGAATATTAAGATTGACCATCATATTGGACCACTGGGGGGGGGGGGCTTTTGGCTATTTAATCTGATGACTCTATCATGTACACTTTTCGCTATTCATATACATTGAAAAGGATACGGTGTTTATATAAAATAACGTACAGGCCGTACGTGGCCAAGTATAAAAGGATACGGTGTTGATATAAAATAACGTACAGGCCGTACGTGGCCAAGTATTAAAGGATACGGTGTTTATATAAAATAACGTACAGGCCGTACGTGGCCAAGTATTTAGCGATAAACAGCGGACTGAAGGACTAAGGCATGAAGTTTTTGAACCTTCTCCGCACTGTCAGCTATAGCGCGTTATAAAAGTGATGGTCAGTGTTGTTTGGGGTCGCAGAGCTGTATAAAGCCCTTGTGGCAGTGGTTGCTGCTGGTAGGCTACCTTCTCTGTGGTCAGTGATTAAATATTAGGGACGGCTATACTTGTGCATAAGATACCGTTTTGATTGAAAAATATACTCACTTGAGTATTTGCTACTACCACCAAGATCTGCACATATAGTAAATATAGTAAATACGGTCTAGAATTTCTGTAATTTTCAGAGTATGTAATGGCATTTAACAAGGAAAGTTTTGGTTTATCTAGATTAAATACACCGGGGCCAGTATGAATACAGCTCGTTCCTTCGGACCTGCGGTTGTAGCCAACGTTTGGTCGAACCACTGGGTAAGTGATTTAGAAGGTCTTAGCATATAAGGTGAACAAAAATTTGTACAATGGTTGATACCTAGGGCACAATTAAAAATGGATCATATTTACAAATAGTTTGATTGGCAGTTGGGCAGAACCTATAACAGTGTATTTACAGTCAGTTTGATTAATAGTTGGGGAGGAGGACCTATAATAGAGTGTTTACAAAACATGTGATTCATAGCTGGACAGAACCTACAGCTGTGTATTTGCAAACAGTTCGATTCATAGCTGGGCAGAACCTGTTACAGTGTAATTACAAGCAGTTTGATTGGTAGTTGGACAAAATCGCCAATATTGAATTTACTGACAGTATAACTAGTAGTTGGGCAGAGTTTCTAAAAGTGTATTTAGAATCAGCCATGTTGTTCAAAACACGAGTTAAAATTATGTATCTAAAAAACTCTCGAATTGCCCAAGACATAATCTCATATAGTGTGTTCACGATATAACTCAAATACTGTAGTTCCAAAGACGGCATTGTAAACTCGGGAAGAACTTGATTACACATAAAATCCATGAAACCATCACAAAAACGTGCAATCACAGTTTTGTTTCGGTTAGGCACATTCGCGTAGTTTGTTAGAAATTGCACTAAAACTCTGACATCAGACACAGTAGCACTATTTAATATAACACCTGCACTGATACATTATATTTCTTGGCATGAATTTGAAGCCTGGATTGATACTGCTATTTAACGCCTAATACATGTACTAGTGCAATAATAAATCACAGAGAAGAGGGTACGCCGAATACCGATGATTTAATAGCAATTTCAAATTTGCAAGTGCTATATAGGTCTTGCATTGACGTCAAAAAAACGTTACGTGGTTATAGTTTACTCCGCCGTGTTGGACGTTAAGTGCTTACATTCATCTTAGGTGAAAAACGAAAAATTTATCTTCTAATAGAGTGTTATCTGACCCTGAAAATCATCTCACCAATGTGCATAAAAAAGACATGTGGATAAACAAAATAACCATATATTTTGCCAAAGGCTATGTTTATGCCATTGGCAACATGTAAAGTATTACCGATACTTGCACTGATATGAAGGGAACGTTTGACGTCCATATTCTAATTGTTCTTCGTCCTCAGATTTATATACAGAATTAAGTTGTATTTAATAATCGTAATATTAACGGTCAGCTTGTGCAAGCTACATGTACTTCCCGGTCTTATTTGTGTTGTGTTGTTATTGTTGTTGACAGTCAACTACCCTGCCTCGGCTCAGCGATAAGTCGGATGGCTTATAACGCTAAACATCGAATTTCGATACCCGTGGCGAGCATAGCATAGATAACTCATTGTGTAGCTTTGCGCTTAACAACAAACGAACAAAGACATCTAGTAATTATCCAATATACTCTTTGACGCAACTATTATGACGTAAAAACGTGTACAACATAAAAGTCCGCTTACTTTTGAATACCTCATCTATAACGTTAAAATAAGTTATATACTCTGAACACAGATTTACAAATACTTCTAACTTGAACTTGTGGATATAACCCGCATAAGGTAACAGTTAACTTCATTTTTTACAAACATACAATGCTGTGTTGTATATAATAAAATAACTTGAACTTGTGGATATACCCCACATAAGGTAATAGTTAACTTCATTTTTTACAAACATACAATGCTGTGTTGTATATAATAAAATAGCTTGAACTTGTGGATATACCCCGCATAAGGTAATAGTTAACTTCATTTTTTACAAACATACAATGCTGTGTTGTATATAATAAAATAACTTGAACTTGTGGATATACCCCACATAAGGTAATAGTGAACTTCATTTTTTACAAACATACAATGCTGTGTTGTATATAATTCAATAACTTGAACTTGTGGATATACCCCACATAAGGTAATAGTTAACTTCATTTTTTACAAACATACAATGCTGTGTTGTATATAATAAAATAACTTGAACTTGTGGATATACCCCGCATAAGGTAATACTTAACTTCATTTTTTGCAAACATACAATGCTGTCTTGTAAGTGATAAAATAGCTTGAACTAGTGGATATACCCCGCATAAGGTAACAGTTAACTTCATTTTTTGCAAACATACAATGTTGTCTTGTATATGATAAAAGCCATAACAAGTGTTTTATTTGGTTCGGTAAATTACACAATCTAAGGGGTGACAGCTTTTTTTTGCCCCTCCCCCCAGTGGCACAGTGGTATGTCTGTGGACTTATACCACTAAAAACCAGGTTTCGATACCCGTGTTGGGCAGAGCACAGATAGCCCTTTGTGCTTAATAACAAACAACAACTTTTTTTTTTTAGTATTCACGGACTATGTTACCAATAAAGCTGGTACAAATTCATTAAGTTACGAAACTTATTGATTCTTAAGTTTACCAGTTGTACGTAAGATAAAGCACAATTACTCAAAATTCTTCACATCTGGTTAGGAAAAACTTGAAATTAATTGTAAAAGTCATAGATATGTAGCTATCAAAATATGCATATAATCCAAACAATGTTGTATTCATGAAAGATACTTACTTTAAAAACACTTTGTTGATCATATATATATATATATATATATCTGTATTTCTCTGGTAAAAGTACTAAAGCTATCTAACGCCGTCCCTTATTTTGAGATACTTACTACAGGAAAGGCAGCCAGTCAACAACATTCTATAATCCACCATCCACGTGTTTGTAGTGTGATCCACAGCTCTAACACTAGATCAACTCCCGCCCTTAAAGTATTTAAAATGACAGATTTGATACTTGTTTTTGTTCAACGGTAAATTTAATATTTTGATATTTATTATTCGTGTATGGTAGTTTATGGTTTTTCGTCCGAATAGAGACAGGCATAGCTTAGTAGTTAACTTGTCGGGTTGTGTATTCATGATTCGCGTCCAATAATCGTAAAAGAAAAAAAAATCATAATCGCGCTCCGGGTTGTTGTTGTTTGTTTTTAAGCACAAAGCTGCACAAAGGGCT